AAATAAAGATTATTATTCTATTGTATTTTATTTTTACAAGTGAACACATAGACGATTAAACTTTTATCAGTATCTTAGACACCGATGCGCACCGATATTTAGAAGTAGCAGGCAATCAGCAGTGACGCCATTTTGTCCAACAAAACATGATGGGAAATTTGCATCATTTTACGCCAGTTTAAATAAAAAAAATTGTTTCGATTGCAAATAATTTAACGATTTTTTTAAACGAAAAGACGGAGGACATTATTAAAAAGTCGCTACATATGGCCAATAGTCTTCTTCACGGTTCCCTGCGCCATCTTGAAAGATAGCCGACGCCTTTGCATCGAAGCGAGACGACCTTTGAGCGTACAATGATAGAAACCTTCTTTCACACCTACAGACAATCATTCACAGGTATCTATCATTGCACGCTCAACGGTTGTCTCTCTTCGAGGTAAAGGCACGGCTACCTTTCAATATGGCGCACGTAAACGTGAAGGAGACTATTGTAAGTAAAAGAACTCGTTTCGTCGGCATGTCTTACCTGAAGGCAAGTGCTTCGGTGTCAAAGTCGGAGTCGATGACATGGACGATGAGGTACTGGAACTGAGTCGTAAACCATGTGACGTAGAAAGAGTGTGTCGTTGTGAATGGAGAGCGTGAACTTGTGCGACGAGTTGTTGCACAGTAGAAATGAGTTCCTTGTTTTGTTTCAAAACAGCTTCCAGTTGTCTCTGTTGACATAACAACTTGATAGTTTAATATAGCAACTAGCTAAGTTTGTTTGATTTATCTTCGTTGCGTCATAGTTAGTAGGGAGACTAGCTATGGTTGCATATTTTAAAGTGTGTTTTTGAAGTTTCTCTTCGTTGTTGTTCATGGCGGTACTAATAGCTTTACTTTATAATCAATTTCTGGGTCATGAGCGGCCAAACCAGAAAGCAAAACACGAGCTAAGGAGGGCGGGCTTGAATTTGCAAAATCCAAGATGGATACAAATGGAGCAAACGAAAAACCGCAATATTTTTCTGGTAACAATTTCTCTAAAAAGCGTAACTGTTTCTGTTATCCTATGAAAGTGTCTGTGTTGCTAGCTTCCCTTACGAAGAACTTGCCAAAGGAAGCCCAAAACAAAAAAAGAAATAGGAAGGACACTAAGATATCAAAGAAAATATGTATAAGAAACTGTGATATTTCACAGACCTGTGCTTCCGTCCTTGCGGTTGTTTCTGCGGCAAGTTTATCTGTCACAAGCTTAGCGTTCATCATGGCTGCTTCAGCTTCTTGTTTAAAGTGAGCTACTTTCAAGTGGTAAATATGACGAAGTTGTTCCAATGTTAGCCCTACAGCAGAGTCAAGATTGATGTCTTTATTGTCAGTGAGCCAGCTTGAATTCAACGTCGTCTACAAAACAGAGCAAATGAAGATGAAAAGCTTATAGAAGTTTAAGAGTTTGATTAGTTGTTTCCAGATACAACTCAAAACATTATAGCGAAGTAGCATGTCAATAAATGACAGGAAAATAAGAAAACAACGCAAAAACAACGCAGAAATCGCGCGCGGCGATGAATATTACACGAACGTGAGTGTAAAAATGAGTTCAACTTTTCATTATCATCAAACTCACCTCGGGAGAAGTAGTTTGTTGTTCAGAGCTATCCTCAGTAGATTTAGCATCGTTTTTATCACTGGCTGTATTATCACCGTGTTTGTCACCTGAAAAAATTATATGCAATTAGCTTTATTTGATATATATAAAGTACAAATGAAGAAAATGCACGCGAGAGCGCGGGATCCTGACGCATGCGTAGGCACAAGTAACTCTTGGAATTCAAGTCACGTGACATGTTCTTGCAGTGTTGAGTGAAGACGACATTGAGGAGAGTGCTTCTTTTCCTGGTAAGTTTTAATGCACAAAAAACGGAAAACAAGCAATGTCCACCATTAATTCAGAGAGTAATTGCCAAAATACCCTTTACTTCGCCGCTAAGCAACAAGAGTTAAAAAAACCTTACAATTTAAGTCAGAAGTCACGAAAATGTCCAAATATGCTTTTAAGCTTATAAGCTTAAGCTTAATATATTTTTGTGACTATCCGTTTTACTCTTAAGCTAAATTCCTGCTAAATTGTTCTAAACATAGACTGTTTAAAAATGCTTTTTCCTGTAAAACGTATAATGCCTGAAATAAGTTACTTTGATAACGATTAATAAATATTCAAAGCCGATGTCAATATAATACAATACCTTGTACTTCGTTATGATTTTCTTTGTCTTCGGCAGCTTTCTCTACATCGCTTTCATTTTGTTGAGTAGAACTTCGTTTGTGACAAACTTCAAATGCTTGTCCAACTGTTCGAACCACATGAACTGCTTCAGCCTTTGAAATAATAACAAATTACATTAAAGCAGAATGCAAAAACATAACTATTGTGAAACAAAATAAGTAAGACTAATTGAAGGCAAAAATCTTGTTTTGGTGATCCAACAACGCACATGTACCAAAATTTTTGAAAGTTGTTTAGTGATCAAACAATTTATTTGTAGCTTAGAGCTGATCTGCACATAGCTTTTTTTTTCTTACACAACCATAGGCCGCCCAACTATTACATTAGAGACAAAAAAGAATTTTAAGAATTTTAAAATGCGGACGCTTTTATCCCTTTTATTATGTATATGTATCGGCGTGCGCTCTTAGCAAAAAAGAGCGCGCGCCGATACATATACATATAATAAAAGCGGATAAAAGCGTACACATTTGTTCTTTTAGGTCTCTAATGTAATAGTTGGGCGGCCTATGACACAACAAAGATGAACTTCCATCACACTCTGCCCTAGTCCCCTTTTTCCCCTTGCATTTTTCCTTGACACAGGTAGCCCACTAGTAATAGTTGGCCACTTGGTGGCTATCTCACCTTGCTAATTGCTTTGAAAACACTGCACTTGAACTGATCGTCATCTTTAGCAATGTAACTGAAAATCTGAAGGTCTTGGGAGTCATGAGATACGTAAAAAATCCTAGAATTAAATAGAGCAAAATTCATGAGTGATATTGAAAATAGTTTATACCTAAAAAAACAAGGAAATGAAATCATTTCTTTAAAATAACAATGATGAAAATAATAATTAAAAAAAATATAAAAATTATATCAATAATAATATGCTGGTCAAAATATAGGGTATAAAATGGTTTTAGGCAGCAAAAAATTATGATGATGATGATAAATCAAAATGATAGTTAAAATCAATACTGACATTACACTTAAACTATGAAACACTCATCATAAATACTCCATTTGAAACAAAAAATAATAATCAAAATAGTGCAGACTGACACTTATATAAATCAGGGTTCTTAATAAAAAAAGTTGACAGCTGTTCTTACTAGCAAAAATAGCCAAAGGATGTGCATTAGCAAGAAAACTGCAAATAATTTCATGAATTAACAGGTGATTAGCTAAGCAAGAAGCAGCTACCAGCTACTTTTGAGTACCCTGCACTAAGTAGTACTAATTATCTTATTATCTTTGAGAATGTTTTGAAAAAGGATTACATCAAGAGACAAAAATAGCTTAAGTGGTGGCCTCTTGAGTACCATTTCCCACTCAAACATTATATACACATGTTGCATTTTGTTTGACATTATATTATTAAAAGTAGTTGTATTTGGTGATAACTCTCCTTACTTGTGAATTGGATAACTYGACAGCTCAACCTCCACAAACTCTTTCATTTTTCTTTTCTGTCAAGAACAAAGATTTTGAGCAAACAAAAAGAAAAAAAATAATGAGTGTAGAGTAATTATTGGAATTTTGTTAATGATAATATATACATAAATAAAAATAAATAAATAATAATAAATATTATCAGTTTTATTGTAAATCTGATCTAATTATTGCTTCTAAATTAAGTAAGCAATTACACAAAATCAATGTCAATTATTTTTTATCCTAAATTTATGCTATGCTCTGATTGGCTAATGACTAACCAATCAATAATTGATTATATTTCCCATGTTTTTACATCAGCAAGCAATAATKTTTTTGTTTATACACACCAATGTCATGCAACAATTTTGTTGAATTTGAAGTGCTGCGTGATGGTCACAAAACTAGAWTTTTTGTTGCGAACTTTAGGATATACTAAGATTTAGCCTCACATATCAAAGAAAACACTAATATTTCTTGACTTACAAATTTACATTTTCAAATTATTTGCGAAGTCAAAGGTATTAAAAGATGAGTCTATGAATTAATCATTATTATTTGCTAAGAAACTGGAAAATTAACCTCATCAACCGATGTCTTATTTTGTAAATAATCTCAGGAAATACAGCCACAAACTTAAAGCATGATTTATTCTGAACACAGATAATATGATTTTTTGTTTAAGGATGATCAATCATAATTCATTATGCTATTTTGACATCAGAGATTAGATTCAATTTTTAAACTCCTTTCAAATAATGTTGAATATCTGTACGGCATAYATTTCAYATTTATTTTCTCACCTGAAAAATATTTCCCTTGGGTTTCTGCCGTATGACCTTCAAACCTTCAAGCCCAACCACAATTGTTGCCACTTGCTTCTTTGTTCCCTGAATCTTGTTGTCATACTTTTTGATGATAAAAAAATTAGATCAAAATTAATATGACAAACAGACCTAATGTCGAACACTAATGCAATAGGTTTATGCAATTACTTGGGCTTTCCAGACCCCTTGGTCCTAATAAAATTATGTTTCCTAGCAATTTTTGAGAAGATAAGAGTTATGAATATAGATGACATCATAACAAAGAGTTCTTCTCCCAAGTGGTCTTAAATGGGACAAACATTGCTATAGCTGTGGAGGTCTGTTTTTAACATAATAAAATACAATTCTCAAATGACACTATTAGGGAAGCATATCAAAATCTGATTGGATGAAGGATGTGATGAGTTATAACAGAACGCACAGAGATGGCTTAATTAGGAGATTTAAAGCATGAAACGTAATAATTTCTACATCAAAGTATATCTACTATACCACAACAGCACAAAAAGTAACATTTATTTAGATTTGCTTTTTAGTAAATTTTATTTCATTTGTTTTTTCAATATTTTAATTTAGCAAATTTGAAAACGTACAATATACTTTTATTATTGTTATTACAATACACTAAAAAA